CTACTTCTGCAAATAACTGAGTCTGTTCTTACAATAAACGGTACATATCGCCTCACACGCTTCTTGACTCCCAAGTTTTTTCAAGCATATTGAAGCTTTTTTTTCTGAGTGCGAGCAGCCAAAAAATTTTTATTTTTCAGTCAAAAAGAGCGGTCTCAGAACTGTGCACTCAACAATGCTCTTCATACTTCTTATTGCATCTACATTAGTTTATTCTACAATTTCTCAAGGTAAAGTTCTTTTTAATCTTTATTGAACGTCACTGTTTGAAGACTGCTGTGACAAAGAAACCAAAAATATTTAGCTGAAAATGCGCTTTTTTAAGATAAAAGTGACTACAGGAATAATTCTTTAAGAAGCAGAAAGAAAAAAGCTTAGCATTTATTGTCGTCATAAAACCGTGTTCTTATTTCACTTAATAATTACTTCATTTTATTTTGTACTTAAGTTTAAGTCAAACCTGGTAAGAAATAATTGTTTCTTCAAAATTACAGATTAGAATTGAGTTAATCATGAATGATTTGTTTAGTGCCTATTGCAGTTTAATTTGGGATTTTGACTGAAAAGCAGTGCCTGTGTATCAATCGGCAAATACAAATTTTCATGCTGGCATGAAAATGATTTCCTAAAAGATGAATTTTAAGAAAAAAAGCCATGCATTACTTTTGAGATTGATTTTTTCATAAATAGAATTTCAGCTTTGAAAAACTGCCGTCAACGCTTGCGTATTCATGAAGATGCTCTTTTTCTTAATAAATTAAGAAGATGCAGATTACAAATGAATTCTGCTAATAACCTTCAAAATCACGTTTCAGTGTTTTCCCTCTTCCAATTCCCTGTCTTACTTTTTAAACTCAAGAACTCGTCGTTTTTATAAGGTCTTTGATGATACATTCAGGAAAACGTGCTACTTCAACGCTTTGAAACAGCTAGAAACAATTTATCAATTTTCAAATCAAGATTTTTTACAAATATTAGCCATTCTTTATGACAGTTTAACCAAGTATTGCTTCCCAGCTATACTTATCCACATACGTAAAGTTTTTTGTGGTGAAAAACGGCGTTGTGGAGATATATAGCAAGAAAGTTTATTTCAAATTAAGCAGTGTAAAACGTTTCGCTCTTTTCTAGGTTCTGGTACCAACCCAGGAGCAAATACCAACCCAGGAGCAAATACCAATCCAGGAGCAAATACCAACCCAGGAGCAAATACCAACCCAGGAGCAAATACGAACCCAGGAGCAAATACGAACCCAGGAGCAAATACGAACCCGGGAGCAAATACCAACCCAGGAGCAACCGCCACTAATAGTACTAGCAATTGTACAGATGCTTTCGACTTCTGCTCTGATTTTGCAAGTCTGTGTGATACAGATGCATTAACTCGGGAAGACTGCCCAAAAACGTGTAACTTGTGTAACTGCGTAGACAAGTCTGATAAGTGCGCTGAGAACGCTGATAAGTGTTCTACAAATGCACTTGTCCGAAACAGATGTGCGAGAACATGTAATGCGTGCAGTGCTGAAACTAACTGCACAGATATTGCTACAGACTGCGACGAAAGTACATGTGCAACAAATCCAACAACAAGAGTTCGATGTCCGTTAACGTGTAAACTATGTGACTGTGTTGACAATGGCGCCAACTGCTTAAATTACGCCAACCAGTGTTTGACAAATAAGCTGATTCGAGCCAGATGTCCAAGAACGTGTAATGCATGTAATGCCGCAAGCAACTGCACAGACCTTGCTGCAAACTGCGATATAAGCTTATGCGCAACAAATGCTAACGTTAGAGAGCGTTGCCAAGCTACCTGCGGAACATGCAACTGTAAGGATGAAGTAGACGGCTGCGATAAACGTGTTTCTCTGTGCAAAACGTATGCAGATGTGCGCCAGAAATGTGCGAAAACGTGTAACGCATGTGGTAGTTCACAGGCAAATAACTGTGCTGATATCTTAGATAACTGTAAGGACCTGGAAAGCATGTGCAAAACTGATGAAGTAGTTAGAAATCGTTGTAAAGTCACCTGCAAAATGTGCTAGAAGGTGGTAGAAAGAAATTACTGTGGTTATACTTCTCTCGCAAATAGAAAGAACTTGCGAATTGTATGAGATCAATTTTTTGGTTTTTATTAATAAAGAAATAACCGACTGTGCATTAAGAGTTGCTTTGCAAAATACTTATTTTCTTTACTGCAGTTTTTACATAAATCAAGACATTCTATGCTACAAAGAAAAACCTGCTTTTCAAAAATTTTTTTGTAAGGTGTACATGTAGTTGAGTTAAGTGAAAAAACAATTACGCTTCAAAAAGTTACTCAGTATGCATTGAATTAAGTACTCTATACAGCAGAATACAAGTGCTTCTTTTTCTTGGCTTTGTAAAACCAGCTGAGTTTAAAAAAAAAAGTAAAATTATTGTAACAGCACATAAAATAGTTATCAATTTTTTGCTGTTATTGTTATAAGGTGTTTTAAAACTTCTTAAGACTGTAAGCAACAAATTTGGATGGTAAAATATATTTTCTGACTTGCAAAGAAAAATTCAATTTATGAGCAAATTGTTTTTACAGGCAAAAAAACTTTTAAAAAAAAATTTTTAGGAGAAAATTAAAGTAGTTTTAGTAAGAAAATTAGAAATGAAATTTTTTTTCAATCTTTTACATGTTATTTTGTTACAGATGAAAGAGCTGTTAGCAAGTATGATTTCTCCAAAAATCATTTTAAAGTTTAAGTATTATTTTGTACAATCGAATAAACGACACTGAAAAGCAATGTTTAGCAACCAGCTGTTTAGCAGACAAACTGTCATACAAAAACTATTATTATAAAGTTGATTTTAAGCTATATTTTTTTAATTAGAGAATAGTGACTTGTGAATAATAGATCTGAAAGAAAACTTAAATTTATTTTTGTTTTTAGTGGACAAAACATGCAGCAATAAGACGAATGTAGTTGAAAAATATAAATAGCAGTCAAAAACTAATTTATACTATTGAAAATTTTTTTAGTTATTCTGATTTTTCTCAAAAGCAAACAATAGAAACAGCACTGGTTAACGATGACATTTTTTTTTGTAAGACTATTTAGCTCGCTAAAATTATCTGCTTTACTGGTACTTTAGTTCATGACGTTTTTTGCTGTTTTTAATGTAATTTGCAGATAGAATACTTAGAGTTTGTTAGCAACTGTTTTGCTGAGGTAAAGAAGCGTTTAAAACTTTGGTTTGAATATTACAATTTACAAAAAATTTGTAGCTTAGATGAAATTTTTCTTAGAAAAAAAAAAGACTTTGTTTAAGAAGTTTTTTGTACAATTGAGCGCACAAAACTGTCATGTATTATATTTTTAAAACCAAAAAAGTTATGACTTATTTATCTTCAACAACAACATTGAAAATTACATTATCTGTATTATAAAAAATTATTTGTGCTTCTTTTTAGAAGGTTTGGAACTTTATTTACTAAGGTTTTATTCGCCATTGAAGCTGTTATATATATTTCAGTAAAGTATTTCTCGTGACTATATAAAGAAAGTTTTTGATGCCATCAAACTGCAGTTTAAAAAATTTTCCAGTACAAAAAATAAGATTTTAAGTTAACTGAGATGCAGTAAAGTTCCCATAATATGTTGTGACGTTTCGGTTGCATTAAATGATATGAAATTTCTTCAACAAACCAAACTGACACACATTTAAACGAATAAATAACAAATTGTTGAATAATATAAAAGAGTTAAAAAATTGTTATTGATTAGCGGTACAAAGAAATAACATTGTCAACTGTTAATCAAATTTGATAAGTTTACGTTTTCTTATGTGACTGCAAAGTTGATTCAAAATTAATTACAGTAATAAAACCGTTCAAGTTCCCAATTCAGTTCTATATAGAAACCATCTTTTCAGCTGTTTATAACCTTTTTTCATATGTATATTTCGAGAAGTTTCTACATTTTATAAAATAAATTTGCTAAGTTTTTTAACAATAATGCAGAACTAAAAGCATGAGTAGTTTACAAGACGTTTTACAGTGTTTAGTCGTTTACATCACTGTTATCTACCAGCATTGAGTTTTTTATGAATACCTATTTTATTTATTCATTTATTTCTTTACTCTTCTGTTTTTACCTTACTGGTTTAAGTAAACGATCATAGTTGATTGCGTTTTTATTAGAAAAAAAAACAACTATCTTTTGAAAAATTTTACTGTATATTGTTACAGTGGAGAACGTCAACTCTGATTGAGTCATAAATTAATAAACAAAATTTTAAAGACAACACATTGTTATAAAACTTTTGAACTAAATAATATTCATTCAAAGTCTTTTTATACAATACAGCAAAAATGATTGCTAGCAGAAAGCATTTACTGTATAAAGCAATAAAATAAAATTACACTATAGCACATTTAACCACGGTGTTTGTATCTGTACTATTAGCATAACCAAAACAGCTAATCTTTACAATTATAGCATCAACTATACTGTGCTTGAAATAATATTTAAGTAAAAGCAGTTTTTTATTATGCAGTGAATCAGAAAAATGTTCTTTATTTTTTACAAATACAATTTTTTTTCATCGAAAGAGGTGTACGTAAAAAAGCAGTTCTAACGCATGATAGGGAATGGCGTATAAAATCAACAAAAATCTTCTATCTTTTGGTCAATACATTAATTGAACAGAAGCAACAGCTACCAAAATCATCACTCGCTACAACAACATGAATTACTGCACCTGGTCAGTATAGAACGTTCGGTTACTAAAAGTTACAAAATTCACTAAATTATAAATGAAAGTTTGTTTTTAATTGTCTAATTTTCAGAACGAAAAGAGAAAAAAATTAATAAATTTGTTCGTCATTCTAAAATGAGATAATTTTCTTTCACTCCGGAAAATTACTCCGTGACACAGAGCAGTAAGAGAAGTGAGAACAGAGGTTATTTTACTAAATAATGACTATACATTTACTGCGATGAAAAATTGTTACAAACAGTTACACTGCAGCTGTTACGAGAAAGTGCTTAGATTTTTATAAGCGTTTTACAGATTTGTGACACAACTTGCAGCTTGAAAAATGGCATTTTTACCGTTTATTGAAAATCTACTTTGATTTGCAGCAGAAAGCAAAATACAGAGAAATCTTGATTTCATTGGCTGTTGTAGTAGAACTTGTAATCATTACAGTAACTTAATTTGAGTTGACTTAAGGCTCAACTAAAGCTACTGTACACCAGCTAATTTCTCCATTGGCAGAATACTTTAACTAATCTTATTAACCTGAGCAGCACTCTTATGTCGAGCTCTGTATAAAATTTTTTATTGATTTCTTTTGATTTCTGATTTGAGACTAGCTTACAGATAGACGGACTTTAAGATGCAAAACGAGAATGAAATAAGTTTTATTCAAATTTATCGAAGAAAAACATCTAGCTTGCAAAATAATAATTCAGTAGGAAGACTGCCAGTGTTTCCTAACTGGAGTCTATTGAAGGGTTTCAGCAGGTAAAGAGGCTACATGATTAGGAATAAAACCAGCAAAAAAAACCATTTAAAAAATTTCAATGTCAACAAACTTAACTATAAAATTCAAATACAGTGAACTTAGATAAGATTACAGTTTCTTTAGATCACAGAAGTAAATTTAAGATTATATTTACACAGAGAGCAGGCGAAATCCTACCGTTTAAAACGATATAATTCACAAAGCTAGTTTAGTTTGGTGACCTAATTTTTTTCTCCACCTCAGTAGGAGAAGCCTACGATGAGGCCACTCTCTCTAGAGTGGACACTGTGCCACCAGGCTACACACGATAGTGCATCGTGCAGGAGCCCGAAACCGAGCAGCACTCTACTGCCCGGCTTGCTGACTAGCAGCAAGGCTAGAAAACATAGACTGAAAGAAGAGCTTTTATACAGCTAACCGGTGCAGTGTAAGTGTAATGACAGTCCAGGATTTCTGAAGGCTTTAGCGGCGCTAATTAAAGGCTGTCTCCAGGTAAGTTTTAGAATTTTGGAACCAAAGATGGTACAGTGAATCCTCTTCAAACAGCTTCTTCCACAGTAATTCTGCAAGATTACTTTCCAGGTCCAGACGGCCCCATAACGCTCTTCATAAGCTTCCTTAAATTTTTGCTCCATCGACTCAATGAGGTTTGCACAAGCAGTAGTGACCGGGTTTATGAAGTTTAACTTATGGCTCACTGTTAGCTGCGCGTACCTCTCGGGCAGGTCTTCAATGCTGTTATAAGCTGCGCATTTGTCCGACATTATAGTAATTACTGAAAGGACATATCGTCAGACAAGAGCCGCGAGAGCGGCTGCGTCTTGGTGATTAAAAGCCAAAATGAAGCACTTATTGGTGCTTCTCTAGATGCCCTTAAAACACCATTGTTGCGTAATTAGCCTTTTGGTGTTGTTTTATCTCTAGGTCAAAATCGTCCTATCAGTTTCAACAATCTTGCTTGAACCACCTAATTCAACTGGACGCATTTCAAATAAAAAACGAAGACGTCACGGAAGGGCTTGAAATAGACGACGATAGTCGGAATACTTATCATAATGCTTGTGTTAGGGCGTATACGTCTACGTCCGTTCCGACGCACTATATAAATAAATTTTCTTATATTTCCTTGTTGCGATTGGATACTCTAGCTTGTTCCTCCCAAAGTTCGGCCTCCTCGCTGATATGTTGCAGTCACGCAAGTCTTAAATTTTTGATATTTTATTCTGATCAGTCAATAAAACCTTAAACTTGGGTAATTAAACTTTATAAAACAAGCATTCAGAGGAAAAGTTACATTGTAAACATAAACACACAAATACACAAAAAAGCTAAACAGATCACTCCTTATAAAGAGGTTACGAAATTAAACCTGAAATGATTACATTCCTTTCCTTATACAGCTTCCTAGATTGAGCGGAGCTGATTTACGGGGTTAATTTAATCCCGCCGGCTTCTACAGGTTCAATAGATCGTCGCCTCATGAAAGATTGTTTCCTTTTCGCGGTTTCTTTCATAGATTCTCCAAACCATATTCTGCCATACTCATCCACTTCGATTTCTTCACCAACATTTTTATTCTTCTTCTATAAAGATACGCGCTAGCCGTTTCGGTCTTTATTCCCATCTCTATTTCCAACTTCAAAAAGTCAGCTCTTGTCGATGCTACTCTTTCGTTATTCTGATATTCTTTCTCGTGCGGAAAATGAAATAACAATTTTTTTCATCGTACTTCGTCCTTATTTTGGCACTTTTTTGCGTGCTCTGCTCAACCTGCACACCATCTAAATTCTTTTTTTGAGCGGATATTGCCAATGTTGCTGAGAGTTTTTTTATACATATGAATTTTTTTCTCAAAGTTTTCGTCTCCAACGTTTTTAGCCTTTCTGGAACGCTACCAACCCGTCTTGCGAATGTTATGATTGTCGCAACATTTTCGGGGCAAAGGTCGACCCAAGCGGGAACTAGTCTGAAGTTTGGGTTTGACACACTCATATTTTATATCTTCACGTTTTGTCTGCGAAAGCAAACATATACATATGTATAAAAAAGTGTTGAGGAAGAGAGGAGGCAGAATCTCGGCGAAAAAATTTTGTTAAGCGAATTTGGTTAAAGGTTGATTGCCTCAATTTCTTCACCTTTTGCCATTTTATTTGCTACCTTTGCTAAAATCTTGCTTCTTTTTGCTGTTACTGCTGGTAACACAAATTTTTAGATTTCTTTTTTTATCACACTTTGTGATGTGGTTAATTTTTGTTCTTGTTCAATAAAGTTTAGACTCCAAATCAGTGGCTCCAACCGTCAACAGAGTCAAGGATAAGTGCTGCGATCTATTCATCCGAGATTTATTTAAGCCTATAACTAAGAAAGTTTTTGCTTTGCAACAGTAGATAGACTCTTTCACATAACTCACCCACACTCAACAAGTACCGAGTTTGTGACCTCCCTGTTCTGTAGTTTGAAATGATTTCGATAGATAGTATCTTATTCTTCTGCCTTGATGAAATATTTCATATTTCATCAGCTGCGATTCCAACTTTACCACTTCTATTTTGACCATCGTTCTCACTTCAGAAACACCTCTTAGCTTAACTCTGGTCTTACAAAGTCTTTCCTCTTCTTCAAAGCCTTCAGCCGTCACCGTTGCCGAGAGAGGTACTAGTTTTAAAAATTCAACGACGACCTGCTCCTTAATTGGTCGAGCTTGAGCTCTAATTTTGAATCTTGTAGCTCGTACGACGTTGTGTCTTGATGAAAAAGCGGGGAAGAAAAGAGTTCTCTGTAGGAACATGTAGGAGATGCGCTACAACAAATGTTTCTTCGATTTTGGAATTCTGGTCGGTAGCCGCAATAATTAACTTTTTATCTCGGAACCTACGTTTCAGAAGCTGGGTCGCATTTTCGTGATTCGCGCTCGTAATTGCTATTTCTGCTACGGCGGCGTAGGCACTTCCTTGCAGGTGACTCAGTAAATAAATTAATTTCTGTACAGTCGGAATGTTTACCGCACCAATCGTCAAACAGAAGCTTTCTCAAAGCTCCATCTATCTCTTTGAATCGTCTCTATAAGACGGAAGGCTTTATTAAAGCAGTTGGATTCTGGACGGTTGATCATTGATACTGAACGTTGTTTGGGTTTCTCCTCTCGTCCCTGCTGTACAGCGTATCACTCTGATGTTCATAATTCCTCTTGGAATTATTGCCTTGTCTAGAGTGGTGTAAAATGTATGACGGTAAACGGATAGAACGAGTTTTATTAAAATTTTTGGGAGAAAACATTTGGATTACAAAATAATAACTTAATTAAAAGACTGCCAGTATTTGGTGATTGAAGTCTATTAAAGGGTTTAATCAGGTAAAGATGTCGCATGACTAGAAGTGGAACCAGCAAGGAAAACAATTTAAAAAATTTCACTGTTTACAAACTTGACTATAGAATTAAAATACACTGAACTTAGGAAAGACTTCACTTACTTGAGATTATAAGAGTAATCTAGAATTTTCATGTACAAAGAGCAGGAAAATTTTACTGTTTAGAAAGATACGATTCTTGACAACAGAAATAATCGCCATGCAGGTTCAATATTTACCATTGTTAACAAAATCCTTTCTTAAGAGTCTACATGGTTTTTGGCCTCTCAGAAAAAGATATAACTCTTTGTTTGACCAAGATCGGTAAGACAGAGGGTTACATCATTACAATCATTTTGATCGTCGGAAGTGCTTTGTTTGATTATTGCATGAACAAATTTGATTTTTTTTTTGTTTAATCAAAACTTGTGCCAAAATTTTGGTATTATTTTTAAAAGATTCACTATCATTTTGATGTACTGCTTGATTGGAATGATCGACAAATGTTGTTATTTTTTTGTCTGAATTTAAAAGTTTGCAGTATACAACTGAAAATGTACCCAATCTATTGAAGATTTAATTTAAAAATCTCTTGGACAAACTTCCAGCAGCTGACTACTAAAAATTCAATGTTACAAAAAAAATAATAAATTTTTTGTTGCATTTACATATACTTTCAAATTCTGTTTTAATCCAGCAAAAAAAAAACTGTCCGACCTTCTTATTATTTTATTTACTAATCAATTTTTATAACAATTAGTAAATATAATCAAGCTTAACTGTACCTCTGTTTTTCTTGTATAAACAGTTTTTGTTTTACGTTTGTAAGTACAGAATATACGATTATTTTTTAAACAGTTTATGCTGTAACTGCATTTATACAATCAGTTGACACGCGTATTTGCTTAAGACAGTACAAACTGTGCATAGCAAGACAAAACGTTTAAATCTTATTATCGCAAAAGCTACTGCTCTTTTTTGGCAAACCTGATACCGGCAAAGTGTTTAATCCTTAAATTTTGATAACACCGCAAGTGATTCTTGCAATATCAAAAAATACCATAGCTTGTATACTCCACTGGCTTTTTTGCTTAAAAAACTTCTTATTTCAATGCTCTTTTACCTTGGTTGCTAAAACTGTCTTTTAATACGAATCTATCACTTTGTTTAAAAAATGTTCAGCTTGTAATGCAAACAGTGGCTGTTCGCTGCTGTTAATTGTTGTTGCAATTTAATCTGTGTTATTAAACTTATTTTTTTGTCCTAAAATTTTGAAGAAATACCTTTAACATCGCGTCAAAAATTAGTCACCGCACCAATACAAATTTCTTTGAAGACCTATCTAACACTGCATATGCCGCTGAAGAAAAGGTTTGAAATTTTGAAGCATAGGTAGGTTGCTTTTTATTTCATCAGTTTTTTCTGTTTTCCTGGTTCCTATTTTTCCTTTTTTGTGTAAAGTTTTCGTAAGAAAGAATTGTTATTAAAACTATGGAAATTTGTTTAAAAATCTATCAAATTTATTTTTGAGTCTTCAAAAAACGCTATGTTAATATCTGCTTGGTATTTTTTTTATCTCTTTCACATGAAATTTTATAAACTACAAAAAAATGAGGCTGAAAAACCAATGAAAGCATTTAGACTTAATTTTTTTGGTACTTATTATTATACAAATTATTTATGAAAAACTACATCTTGTTCAGACAGTACCTAAAGTTTATATTAATAATTCTCAAGTTATTAGCGGTCAATGCTGAACAAGCTAATGAATTTCTCGGAAACGAATTAGAGAAATAAAAAAAATAAGGCAGTAATAAAGAAGTATTGTTGTGGAATGGCACTGATAACTGTAGAGACCGAAAGCGTCAATGTGTCCCGAATTAGATTTGCTATCAAACAGTAGTACCAAATCGTGTAAGAAAGTCAAAAAGCTGATTTGAAAAACTGTTTCGTTTTGTTCTGTAAAAGTTTCAATTTTTTTTCAGTATTACTAGAGAGCGACAGAAGATAAGTTACAAGCTTTGAGAGTGACTGCAAAAGTTTGCTACAAAGATAAAAAAAATTAATAAAGTTTTGTCGGAAATATACGATTTTTCTGCTGCCAAAGTGTTCTTTTAGTTTTTTGCTAGAAAATGCAGTTTTTGAAATTTTTTTGGCTTTAAGAGTGCTTTTTTTTCCTAATTTTTTTACACAATAGGTTTCAACAGTTTGTCTATACGTCGTTTTAAAAACAGAAATTTTAATGCAAATATTTTGCAAACTTTTCTTTCACTTATTTCTGCGCTGGTTTCTTCTTCCTTTGTTAAAACTACAATTTTTTGTTTTGCTTGCCAGGTACTACTGTTACGAAAAGCTAAAACCATGAGAAATTTTATTATTATTATTATTATTATTATTATTATTATTATATTATCAATGATATTATAATAACAGTAATACCAATAACTAATACCCTATTATTATTATTATTGTTCCTATTATTATCATTATACTATTATTATTATTATTATTTATCATTATTATTATTATTATTATTTATTATTATTATTCATTATTATTATTATTATTATTATTATTATTATTATTATATAAGATTACTGATCATGTGACACTAAGTCTTCAAATTTGACGACGTGCGCGACAAAGTAACTTTTGATTTTTTTAAAACTTTTTATTTGGTTTTATTTGTTGAGAAATATTTCAAAAAAAAAGCGGAACAAAAAAGAAGATCTTTTTAAGAAAAGAGAGCAAATATAATGACGAAAATGAGACAAAGTCAAAATTAGAAAATTGTCCAGGCAAAAAAATTTTTTTTCTGACTTACGTTGGGCCTAATTTACAGTTGACTTTAGCCTATATTTTTTTTCATATTTCTCAAAATCACCGATGAAGGAATGTGTAGATTAACAAATAAAGTCATCTAAGAATTGTGCTTATAAGATAAAAAATTTGCAAAAGCTGTAGCAAACTTTGTCTAATTTGGCTTTAAATAATAACAAACAAAATCTGACTAACAAACAGTTCATCCAAAATTTTAAGTCATCATACCTTCTGTGACAAGCGATACCAAATTTTTGTATAAAAATGTCAAACCTTAAAATTTCTTTATAAAAATGCTCTACTGCTCTTTCTATTTTTTTTTTTATTATTTTAAAAAACACCTCGTATGTTCTAATCATTTCACTTAGTGTTCGCAATCTAGCAGCAAAGCACTTAAAACGTTTGAAAGCTTAGAGCCAACAATGTTACAATCATCACATATCTAAAAATAATTTGTCACTATTTTTTAATTTCTACCACGGTGTAAAATATGCTTTTTACAAGTATTCTAAACTTTTTTGATCAATTGAAGTTGTAGCATATAAAATGTTTTTTTTCTGTATATAGATATATTCTAAGACTTCGAAAACGCAAGAGGTGCAAACTCAACTACTATTTTAAGTAATTATTACTTATTTATTTAAAATTTTTTGAGGTTTTTTTGATGTAACAGCATACATTATAAACTGGTAAATTCTATCTATTGGTTTTGCCATAATACCGATTAATTATACACACCTACCCATGTTGACTAAACTGTTAAAAAACTGCTGTAACAAAAACATTTTATTAACGTTTTGTATATAACAATTTTCATTAATCGC